GTATTGCAAACCCTGTCTTTTGGCAACTGGGAGATGTCGCGACCACTCCACAAGTGTCTCAAATTAGCACAGGTTGAGTAGGCTTTAGCGATACAGAGGGACAACTCTTCTCCAATAGTTCTGTCAGTAGAGATACTGCTCCCAAGGTAAACAAAACTATCTACCTGCTCATGCTGAATGTTTTTAATGGCGAGCTGAGGCAGAGCTTCCTGTCAATGCTTTGCTAGCACTTTGCACCTTGAGGGGACGAGTATATACTAAGACGCTCCATCACCAGTGGGTCAACGATAATATGCATATTATGAGGGTCGTCACCGAGCAAGACGATATCATCGGCGTAATCTGTGTCCGTTGCACGATTACCTAGAGGAAGCTCAATTCCAGTATTCTGAAAGCGACTAAAGCTCCCAACAGGACATCTTCGATCGCGAGGTCGAACATAAATGGAGGCACAGGACATCCTTGTCACACACCACTGGTTACAGGGAAGACTGCGGGGAACCTGCCATAGGCTCTTACTTTGTCTAAAGTGGAGGAGTAGCGCCCAAAAAATAGCGACGTACTTTTTCGGGACTCTGTTCTTTAGTAGTCAATGTCATGTCCGATGCAGCCCGAATGTCTAGAAAGATGACGATAGTAGATCTGCGGTACACGTGGTGATGTTCAAAGAGCTGACGAAGCTTGAATATGTGACCTACGTGACCTCTGCCAGAGTGAAAACTAGCGTGCTGCTCCCGATAGTGCACCCCGCGAGTTGGCGATGGCCTACGCAACATGATGACTCTTGGAGGCAACTGATATCAAGGTGATTCCTCTGTGATTGGCTCATTTAGCGCGGGAGCCTTTTTTGAAGATTGGGATGATAATTGACTCTTTCCATTTCTCTCCAGATGTTCAGAAACATGGATGTTAGCGTGGTGACAAATTCCGTTTATGCTTATAGATAATAACAATCGGATTTTTCACTAGTCTGTACAGGATTACGGGCGTCTCTGTAGCTTATAATTCCAAAGAATTTAATTAGCCGGAATATATCTCAGAATCTTCGTTCATGAGACGAAGTTTATAGTGCACTGCGATATCCAATCGGCATTTTGAGAACCTCTAGGTTAAAGCACAGACAACTGTGTTCGAAAGGGTGTTCCATGGTTGGCAAACATTAGGGAGTCATCGACAATCTAGACGACTGTATTGTTGATTCAGTGTCAAGCTATTTCCTCGCTGGTTGGTTTTTTTACTGATTATCAGAGGGTGGCGGCATATGCCATCGAAATCTTTCAGTATTTGGTATAGTGTGACGAACGAAGAACAATTTCCTTTTCAATATTAAGTGGATTTTCACAGATGGAACCGAGCTTGAACTGCGAAAATCCGCAACCTACTGCACCCATCCTAGCGGCTACTTCTTACCCTCACAAAGGTCCGATCGACCCTAGTTTTGTGATGTATCTCAATAAGTGGAATGGCCCACCACTATAGGTGTACCTACGACTGGTGATTTTCTGCCTGAGTTTGACTGCGACGAAACTTCTGGCAAACACCTGTCCCCTTAATACTCTCGGATCCAAATAGTTTTGTTTAACGTGTTGTGTTATTAGGAATTTAGCTATCTTTGTTCTCTATATTACTGTTCTGTTGACTCGAAGAACGTTAAATTTAGTTTCATTTGACCTAGTCTATCAAACGGGGGCTTTAACTCGGTGGTCCCCAACCGTTTTGTCGCCGCGGACCGGTTAACATTTGATAATTTTACCGCGGCCCGCTAGAAGGGGCGTTGATTGTTTACATTTTGAATTGCTTTGATTTAATGATTTCAAGTTAATTGTATCTAAACATGCCTTAAAAATAAAATACGACTACACCAAAAAATAAACATAAAGTTATTAGCATGTTAACTCACTAGAACGCTAAATCGGTGAGAACCCTGAGCTTGTTTCTCTGCAACGACACTGTTCTCTCTGGGGGTAATAGGAAACAATGACACCCGAAGTGTGTTGGTTGTCTAGCTTATTCCGTTGTTTCGCTTTGGTTTCTATCACTGCAGAAAACGCCGCTTCACACAGACAGGATGTCGAAAGTCGCAACTGGGATTTAAGTGCTGTGGAGGCAATCTGACGGTGATCCGCCATGACGTTAATCCAGATCACCGGTAGAATTGTTGTCTCGAACGTAGTTTTAAGGCCGTTGTCATTTGCAATCTCTAGCAGTTGATCTACTTGCACAGACATGCTAGATTCGCCTGGTTTGTTAACAAATGGGTCGCGGATCCATTCCTTACCAGTTCGTGGGTCTTTTGTGGTTGGGAAGTAGCGCTCGAACTCTTAAAAGCAAATAAAGGTGATCGTGCACCAACTGGGAGAATGAATGCTTAGGGTTAGTCTCGTCTAAAAGCCACGCTAATGTTTGAAACATGTCCGAAGTGCCTCTGTTCACGCACTGTCCCCACAACTCTAGTTTGGCTTTAAATGCAACTACTTTGTCTGCCAACTTGAAAACAGTTATCGTTTTCCCCTGAAGGGATAGATTGAGTTTATTGAGTACGCTGAAAGTGTCACAGAGTTAAGTCAGTTTTTTGACCCATACCTTGTCAGTGAAATGTTCTGCCAGTGGCGATTTCTTTTCTGAGAGAAATCTTTGCAATCGCTCGCGTAATGCAAGTACGCTGGTTAGCGATTGTTCTCCGGATAACCATCTTATTTCTGTGGACAAGAGAAGGCATCTGTGCTCTGCGTCCATTTCCTCACAAAACTGCTCAAACAGGCGCGAGTTAAAGGCGTGTGCTTTGATGTGACTAATAACTTCAACGACATCAATCAATGCGCTGTTAAATTCCGGTGACATTTTTCGGCTTGCAAGCAGTTCCCTGTGATACAATGCATAGATTCACCCTCAGGTGCAACCTCCTTAATCCGAGCAGTTAAACGAGACCACCGTTCGGTCATGACAGCAGCTCCGTCTGTGCATACACCGACACAAAAGGACCATTTTAGTTGTTTTGAATTATAACCATTCACTGCCTTGAACAATTCTGTTTCTGTGCTTGTTATAATTGCGTCGCCACTGTTATAATTGAGGGAACGCCGCCTCTTGAGATAATTGCGTAATTGCCTGATAAGAGTTTCGCTGGCACGCCTACGAAGACGACTTGTTACGCTGACCACTCGAACGGAATTGCGCTGTCCTGATGACGCTGGTTTAGCCGGTGAGGCGGATAATTGAGCGAGCTTGTGAACAATCCTAGCCGCACGTGTTCGGATTGACGCTGAGCCTCGGAACGGACGCAAACGAGAGGGGGTTATGATAGACGCGCGCTAATGACTTAGACGCGAGGCTGTCCAGCTAACGACTCACACGCAATCACTCGACCCGACCGACTCCCAACTGAGGCGAAGAGAAAGAAAAGACAAGTGGTCCTCTGTAGGCTCTTCTACGACCGACAAAGGGCGATCACAGCCAGTGCTATGGGTTATTAAGTTAGGGAAAACAGTCACCACGCAGAGGTGGTAGTTTGCAAATGAGCATTGTCGAAAGGTGCGCAGTTGGGGCGCGTCTCGGAGTGGCTGAGCTCTGCTGCGTTGTGGGGAGGAATTGGACCTCGGTTTCCACAGCCATTCTGCCGGGGTTTCTGGCATGTTTATGCGGGAATATTTGACGCGCCCGCAACTGTGGTGTTGGTTGGCAAAGATACTGCACATAACAAATCCACATGCACATCCTCCTGTTAAGGATATCACACATAAACCAGTAGTATTGCCTCGTTGTCGATATCTGTAGATTCGTCAGCCTGGACTTCGTACCACGGTGATGTATGAATCCACTTCAACAATTGTGTTGCAGTTTCTTCGGTTATTTCCTCAATTCGCCTAGTCACAGTGTTATGCACCAAAGACACTTGTGCTATCGTTGTAACAGCAGCCTCTCCTAGAACTTCACGGTAAATGTCTTTAGTGAATCACTTTTAGTCTTAACAATACGCTTAGCCTCAAAATATGATGGTTTCCGTGCATTCTCCTTTATTGATGTGGTGGTCCTCAGAAATTTCTTCTGTCCTTCATATTTCTTAGTTGTTCCTTCAAAATACGCAGGGTGCTTGGCATTCGAGTGGCAAAGCAGTTTTGCCGGATTTCATTGTCTCATTAGAGAGCCGGTCGCCGCAAACTATGCAGTACGGGGTTGGTGTGTGGGAATAACCTGTTCTGGTATATCTATGTTTTAAGTAGGACTCATGGTATTGTCTGATAAAAGTTTTAGTTTATTTAATGTTGTAGGCTCTTCTGTCTCTTTTCACTGAGTCTTTTATTTTTCCCAAGGAAACTTTCTAACGAGGTCTGTTTCGTACTCATTTTTACTAATTGATGGGCGAAATTTGAGCGCCCAGCCCGAGATAAAAGCTGGAAAATAAAACATTGTTAAACTCAACTAGTAAATGTGGACGAAAAAGGGCGAAAAATAAAACAACATATACACCAAGCACCGTTAAACATGAGAAAATACCGGTAAACAGAGAGAAGAGCGATACACACCACTCCACCAAAGTTAAAAAGCCACTGTCGCTCGCAGCTCATCGTTAAACTCTCGTCCATGGAAAGTCACACAATCCCGAAAGAAATACATCATAGTAAAGAAACTGGAGAGAAGTCAATCTTTCTTAGGCGGCCCGGTACCATTTCATCCACGAACCGGTGCTGGCCCAAGGGTTGGGGACCACGGCCTTAAGTGACTGAGCGATGCATCGTCTCTCTTATTTTCCTTTGTACGCTGCAGGGAGTGCTATTCAGTCCCATTTCTCTCTCTCTCTCTCTCTCTCTCTCTCTGCACTTATGTCATTATTGCACTCTTCATTACCCAACTGGTTTTCAGCGTCTCGATTATCCGCTCCGGCCCTAGTTTTCCTGCCACTTGTGGTTGCTCATTTACTGGAACGTCAACTCAGACCAGATGTGTTTCATCCTCCTGCATCCAACTCCTTTGTTCTGTGCATCTGTTCTCCCTTTTCCTAGGCTGCACTTGTTCCTTTTGCTTCGAGGTTAAATTCTACGTTCCCCATCCCGAACGCTCTATTGATTGTCTAAATACGAGACGCCAGTACTACCTACAACTTCGGCGGCATCTTTCAACTGGAAGGTAACCTTTTTTCTTGCTTTATATCTGTTCACACGCCATTGTTTATTTTCAACACGTTGGCTCGCTTGTAATCCTCGTTGTGCTTTCTCTCGGTTTACAATCTTCTACTTGTCTTTTTCAACGGGAAATTTCACCTCCAGACTAATGTACATCTCTCATGTACATTTTGTTGCAACTAAGATAGCACGTCAATTATCGTTGTTATACACGGTTTTTTGTTCCGTTGGCCAATTCTCCCTCTCCTGTTCTTCTCTGTGTCATCATATGGTTATTTGGGCACCCGGCAAGCTATACGGATAACCCAGCATAATCAGCGAACGATGAAACAGGTTGGCGCTCACCACCATTTGAGACAGTATCGTCTCAAGTACCCTTCGTTAAAATGTAGATGAGCTTGTTCCTGCCTCCTGAGGCAGTCTCACTCTGGTGTGAGCCAGATGTATACGTTAGATCGGCATTCCGTTGGAAGCGCCCGATCCATTCCGCTTAATTCCGATTTGCATTAGTCACTTCGGTTTCCTCGCTAGCCTTCCCTCACTGATAATTGCGCGACATTTGCCAGGATTTACTTGATTTTGTTGCATTGTTGTGCCTTACGCGAATGGCGTTTTTATGTATATGCAGTTTCACAATCACTTCTATTTGCCAGCTATTCTGCTTTGCTTCCTTCAGTACATTCACACAACGGTAATCTTTCCAACTGTACTCTTACTTCAATCTCGACCTTCCTCACGAGCGGTCCCGCGGCTGATCAGTGGTTTCGCGGGATAGCTACGCAAAAGATGACGCATATGCCACCTGAGAATTAACGTTATTCGTACTTGTCGCAAAATCATACTTCACTGAGAGCTTCATGTTACTCAGGGTCAAGCTTTTTGACTGATGTTTATTCTTTCTGTTTTCTGTGGCCGTGACGTCCATTGAAATTTTGGCAGTCACACAAAGCTGGTCATTTTCACCTACTTGGATGCCGTTGTAGCTTCGGCTCCCAATGTCTACTTAAGGTATTTCTGGAGGAAGACAGTGGCATCACCAAGGATAGTTTTGTGGATCGGAAGAATACTTGACCTGTCGCGTCAATTTAAGTCCCTATCTGGTTGCCAGTCTTTTGTATTGCGTCACAGAAGCTGAGGTGTTTTCCATCGGCAGTTAACGTATACTATGATGATGATGGCGTTGCAATTGTCTGATGATACTTAGTATTATACTACTTTTTCTTTTGTTTTTTGTGGTCTGTACTGTTTAGTACCTTAACTATTTGTATTGCGACTAACCATCAATGTTTCACACCCACAGCTAACGTTTATTGATGATGGTGATAACTCACGATCACACATTTTGCTGTGATTACTGTCTTTTGAAAGAACGGGCAATGCAAGATAAATAGATATCATATCTTCCTGTAGAATGGTTGTAGTTCCTTTTCTTCCGGACACAGCAGATATTGATGAACAGATCCTTGCTATTCTAACTACAGGAGTTATGACTGGAGTCCCATTTGCTTTGGGAGGATGGTAGTTAGGTGCGTTCATCATGGCGCCCACCAACATGGGTTCCTGCTTGGAGTCTAAATCCACGCATGAAGACCACGCGCTGTCGAGAAATATCTTGCGTGATTTACCTTTTCTATGCTATTGTACAATGATAATGAAAAAACCGTTAAATCGTTATCGATTGGGGCACGTTCCATCTTTCAACAGCTCTACTCACCATTTTAACCCAACTATCCCATTGTGTCCGTCCGATAAAGCACATGGAAAGTTGTTGAAATCACTTTGAGAGGAGGTTCCACGGAGCCTCAATTCGCGGCGTCCAAAGTCGAACTACCATTGACCAAAGATTGAGTGAACATCTCCGTTAAGTTATGGCAACCCCCCAGCCTTCATCGTGTGTAGCGTACGTTATGCGCCATGCTGCAAGTACCTAGTACTAGTTCTGCGTTTTTCCTTGTGAGATCGGCTGCCTTTTTCTATTTTCCAGTTTTGGACTGACACACTATGCAAATCGAGCGCTAATGTGATGACATACCATCTAGGCATCTACAATCTTTCACACATTGTGATCGAAATAACCCTTGCCATGTGTTACCAGCACTTGATTGTCATCGATTATTTTAACTTGCTTTCTTCCTAACAGAACTACCCCCATGATTTGTTGTTCTTACTTATCGTATGCAAATGTTTTGTAATCTCTATGCTTAGTAGTGATAAAGCTATCTTATGCGCCTCTCACATTTATCTGTGAAACTATTCTTTAACTATTCTTTATGGTAGTCTCCTCACTTTTGATGCTTCTCCCACCGTTTCCCTGTTATTCCCAACCTCTGCCGTCTATTCTGTGTCTCATTGCTCACTATTGCACGTCAACGGATCACACGTACTCAGGGTGATGTATTTTGCCTGAGACGTTCATGTAAGCACGAGATATAATGTCTGGTCTTCTCTCCTCCACACCAAATAGCCCATGGATTAACTTGGCGCAGGAATGAGTAATCTACTCCACTTATCGTACCTATACTTCCAATTCCCCACGGCGTAGTTTTTTCATATGCTCTCCGCTTTTCCCCTCGTCATGTTCGTTTCGTTTCGCTTCTATTTCAGGTTACAGTGTTCTTTTCATGTTCGTGTTTTTCTCGGGGCTTTGATAGCCCAAATGGATTTGGGCGATTTCCATCCACGCCATTCATTGTGCCTCGATTCGCTGAGTGTGCCGCATCTGTCTATCACAAATGACTATCCTCCCGGTAAATCTATTTCGTCAGCAGAATCTCGCAGTCTTCTTTCGTCTCGCACATGTAGTCTGGCCTCCCCGGAACATAGTGATGAGGAACCGGAGACCGTTTGGGACTATCGCTCTAACTTGACTTCCAATTGCGTCTATGAAATGCAGTCTGCGCAACCTCTCACCAACACCATGAACTTCGATTCCGGATCAATTAGTCATCACGATTATTCCGCAATTTTGCCTTATTTCGATCAACGGTTCCATGCACATACTCTCACCAGTACAAGTGACGAATTCCCTGCCAGTCTTGCGGGAGCAAGACACCGCATCAGAGTTAGCTGGCCATATCCACGACCCACCAAAAGTGATGCACAGGCCATCCTACGACACGTCGCCCGGGCCCATCGCAAACTACAGTGAGTCACTGCTGTGTATTGTTTTTTGACATACGTTCTCCATAGTAAAATTGGCATCATTGGTTTCCGCATTTGTCTGTTACTGTAACGATGAACAAATAGGACGTCTGTTCCCGCAGACGGACCATGGTCGTCATCTACTCACCCAGCATCCGGTGTGCACCTGAAGAAATAAGTGTGGGAGACTTGTGTACGGGGGTACAAAACAACATCAACAACAACAGCAGTACATCAGCCATTTGATGCTTCGCTGCCATACAACCATGATAATCTATGAAATAAAGAATAACAAGAGGGAGAGCAAGGGGACTTACCTGGAAACCTTAATTCCCTAAGCAAACATTCAGGGTCAAGGCGCCTACACTTTGTGTAGGCAACATACCGTCACAAACAGCTGGCTATCGTGCAAAGATAAGGCGGCATCGGCGAGACAGCTTCCTTGCGGCTTTCACTGCCCCATGTCATAATCAGCCATTACCCTGCAGATAACTCAGCACCAAACACACTATAAACAGGCAATTCGATTAGGAGACGGCAGCAGCCGCGCCACTGGTGTCGGTTGCGAGCCATGTCCTGTAAAATGTCGAACCAAGCGCAAGGCGAGTCAAGTGGACTCCAGCTCGGAAAGCGAGACTGACCAACGGCACCCAGTTTGGTCGTCAGTGACTTCATTTCCCGCTGCCAAGTCAACTTCTTTCCACCTCGAGCCTTGCGCCACCCTACACCTGGCAGACTAAACAACGCCCTCCTAGGTAAGCGGTGATCAGACATACGTAGCACGTGCCCGAGCCAACGCAACTTAATCAGTGCTATCTGTTGTTCTAGGGAAATAGCATGATTATTACCATCTGGTACTCGGCTACGCACATCATCTTTGCGGACACGCTGGTGCCATCCGACTCCAGCAATGTTTCTCAGATCTTCAGACCGAAGGGACCAAGTCTCACTCCCACAGAGCAAAACGACCGTCACTGTGGCCATTTATACCCGGCCTTTCAGACGGAGGGAAACTCCCTTCTGTCGCCAAAGATGCCGCAGGTTCAAGAAGGCAGCTCTGGCCTTTGAAATGCGTGAGCTGACGTCAGTTTCTATGCGTTCATCATTGCTGATGCAGCTGCCAAGATAAGTGAAATGATCAACAACCTCGAGTTCCTCGTTAGCAAGGGTCAAGGGGTCATCAAGTGGCTGGTGATCCTGCAGCAACACTTTGCACTTTGAAGGTGCAAAGCGCATGCCAAATAATGGGACCACTCTAGACAGGCTATTCGGGGTTGATTGTGCCGCCCCAACATCGTTGAAAAGCAAGACGATATCGTCCACATAATCAAGATAAACTAATCTTTCACCAGGCAGCACTTCAACGACTACATCGTAAGATTCCATGATGTAATCCTCGACGAAATTAAAAATAAATGGGGAAATCGGACAACCCTGACGGACGCCACGTGTGGTCGGGAAGCTATCCGATAGGATACCGAAGACCCTGACGCGGCCTGTAGTGTTCGAGTATAGAGCACGAAGGATGTTCACATATTTCGTGGGAACACCTTTCCGTGCAAGTATTTCGAGCAGAATGGATCGATCGACTGAATTGAACGCACTCTTGAAATCGAGGAACACAGCTACTGTCGGTCTGCGGTATGCGTGGCGCTGCTCTGGCACCTGCCGCAAACTGATTATATGGTCTATACAGCCACGTCCTGAGCGGAAACTGGCCTGCTCTTTCGTAATCCGAGATTCCCGTCCTACAGTGAGTCGACGAAGGAGAACCGTGGTCAGTAACTGTGTCACAACTGGTTAGGACAGTCTGTACGACTGCCCTTCTTGTATATTACTACTATAATCGATTCACTTCAGTTAGTCGCGCCACTCTATTCCTCCCAGATACGTTCGAATAAGGAGGGCAGTGCTTTGCAGAGGACCTCAGCTCTATCCTGAAGTCATGCAGGTGGGAGGGAATCCAGCCCAGCGGCACGAAAACGATTGAAGGCTGTGCTCGCGTTTCGGACCTCAGCATCCGACGGAGACTTTAAACTAACCGTCCATGGCTCGTCGTGCATCTCCTGAATAGGAAGAGGTCCGGGAGCAGGGGGCCAGCTGAACTGCTCTTGAAAGTGTTCCGCCCAACAAGCGCTCCTTATTGTGTATCAGCGCACCCGCGGTTTCTGCTTGTCTCATTGACGCCTGGTTTTTTCGGACCGGTGGTGCGGATCAGCTGGAAGAGCTTGCGGTAATTGCCTATTGCTCCTGCCTTCTCCATTTCTTGTGCCCTGCTGGTTTAACAGGCTTCCTTATAAGCACGCAGGCTCCGCTTTAGCTCGCGCCTAATAACCCGTCTGGTCACGTGCTCAGTGCCAGCTGGGAAGATTATTCTGGATCCCAACAGCTTCACCGACCTCCCGGATATTCAGTGACTGGTGCAGTGACGATGGATAGTGCCACAAGCAGATGCTCCTGCGTCGTGCATGGCGGCCGATATCCTAATCCACTGAAGCTCAGGGTCATTAGAACAAGACAGTTCGGTATGCATTGCGTCTAGATAGGCTTGTCTGACCGAGCGTTGAGACAGTTTCTCAGTTGTCAATCGGAGGAGACGCTTGGTGCGCCTCCCGGTAAAGTTCATGGAGAAACGACAGCGTACCAATACATGATCAGAGACGACACAGGTACTCCGGTACGAGCGTCAATGCAGGACGGATTCACGCTACCTGTAACTTATGGCTATTTGGTTAATTAGAGCCCATCGCTGGCCAGCTACAGGAGGACGCCAAGTGGCACTTCAGCGCCCACTGTGTCTAAAAGCAGTGCTACTAAGAAACAACTGGTGCTCCGCAAATAGTTGTAGCAGACGCTCACCGTTGTCAGTCCGTTCGGAGTTAAGCCCATGATTACTACCCAGCTGAGCTCCTGAAGAGCCCAGACGCCCTACTTGTGTGTTCATATCCCCTGCAAGTACTGTAATATCTGAACTAGTAATGCTGCGTAGTGGCGCGTTCAGTTCGTGATAGAATGTGTCCTTTACAACATCTGAAATGCAGTCGGTGGGAGCATAGGCGGAAATCACGAAGAAACAGCGTTTGGTACTACTTCGTGAATCAACCGTAGCTGATGTCGTCAAACGGTTGCACATAAACGGCTGTTTACCGGAATCCAGTTGACCAACGATGGCTCAGGCTTGGAGCTTAGAATGATACCTACATCTGCTTGACCCTTGATTGCTGCATCGGCGTCTCCGGATGCGTGTAGCTACTAACGAGAGGATAAGCCGGGTGCAGTTAATTCAATAACCCTGTTAGGGTCATTGATCCTAGGTTCGGACACACAACACACATCAATACCCAATGTGTCCAAGGTGCGTGCGAATGCAGCCTGTTGACCTGTTTGTCTTAGAGTGCGAACGTTGAATGTCGTCTTGGGACCGGGACAGCGTGACTTTATAACGGACTGTTGCCGATATGCGTCCGATGGGTGTTGTGGGATGGTGGCTGCAGACGGTTGTACTCCAGTGGCACTTCGGTTGCTGTCAATTAAGCTGGGAATTATAGAAGGAAGGTTAGTAATTTGGGCGGGATAGGAGTAAGAGAAAGAGGTGGAAAAGAAAGAAGGGAGACGCCAGCAGTAGCATGCTTTCGCTTATCCGCCCTGCTGTATGCAGCAGATAAGGCGACC